AAGTTTGCAATTGGTACTCACGTTGCCTTTGCCTGGTGGCAGAGTGCGAACTGGGATGGGTTGCCAAAGGATCTGGGGATTCCAGATCTGGTGGCCAGCTGGTGGGAAAAGTCCAGCGAGAAGAACCTGAGCGCTCATAATGGTTCGATCAATGTCTGTGCTTTGAATGAAAATCTGTAAGTAAAATGACAAAAGTATTTTTCCCTAAAAATTAAAGAGAGGACGGCTTTATCCATATTCCCAGTCCGTGCTTCCCTCTCTTCCTTTCTCCTGTTCTGCATAAATCACAGAAGGTGAAATTCACCGTTATGCAGAGGGCTAGCAGTCGATACATTCACCATTTGAGTCCTGTTTCTAGGAATCTGTTTCATCAGTCTAGGGAATTTCGGAGACATTACCGTTGAAACTAAACACTGAAAAATGTATGAAGAAGCATTAAAATGTAGATTAAAAAACATTGCTCTAGCAATTCCTCTGTGATTAAAGCATGTATAGGCATAGGAGTTGGAACTAGGGGTGGGGTGGGGTTCTCCCGCATCCCCCGGCTTGAAGGGATTTCTCATCATAGAGGATTTATAATTTGGTTCAATGGCTCTCAGCACCCCCACTATACAAATTGTTCCAGCATCCCTGTGTGTAGGTTTACCAGGTGTTTGATTATTTGTGCATTCCATTTCTGGAGCAAAGTAGACATTTTATAAATGATGTTTGTTGGTGCTGTCCACATTCCCTTGGCCATCATAGCTCACAGTACATCCTATTGCTTCCGTTATATATGTTTTTCTCAATAAGAACTTTCCCAAATAACAGGACCCCGATTAGGAGATCATCTGAGTATCAGCCTTTTTAGCTGTGCTAAGAGCATTTCTCATCTCCATCTTCATCCATTGGCTCAGCGTTTCAGAATTTTAGGGAAATGTAGAATTGTAATACAGTTTCCCTCCCTCTCTTGTGACTTCCTGAAATTCTGTTCACCCTTGATATGATATGTTGTATGGCCAGAATGTTCAAATTTAGGTGCTTACAATTAGTTTCCTTAATCTATATTTATGCACCCAATTCAGTGGCCTGATGTTCAGAACTGCTGATCTTTTGTTACCTTATCTCTTGCTTTAGGATTGTGGATTTTGTTTTTGATTCAGTAGTCTTAGAGTCAAATGGTGCAAGAAAAAATTCCTTCACACAAACTCTAATGCTTACCTCATGGCGGTTGTATGAGTCATTCAGGAAGTTTGAGTATCTCTTCCGCATATACTGTCCAAGCTCATATTGCTGCTGCATTCCAATCTGTGTGGACAGCAGTACAGGTGAATATCAGTTTAATGTGCATTACAGTGACTTTTTCAAGTGACCATTAACCACTTTTATGGCATAGTGTAGGCTTTATGCATGTTTGCATCTGGGTTTTTGGTTGTTTTTTTTTCAACAGGAAACTTCACTTATATTCATAAAGTAGTATCTGTATACTAGGACACTATACCTTCAAGGTTTTGAGTGTTAATAATCAAGTCATAATTCATGTCCTGCTCAGAGAGACCTTGGGCCTGATTCTAGTTTTATTTAGATCTTTCAAACTGACACATCTCCACTGATGTCAGCAGAGTTATTCCTGTGGGGTGTGTGAGGAGAATTAGCACTAATTGACCCCCTCACCTCAATGGGCATGAAAGAGAAAGTTTGTTTATTTGATCTAAATACTTATGAAGAAAATGATTAGCTTACTCATAGTAACTCATTGCTACTAAATTATTGATCTTACTCCTGAATTTGTAGCTTGATTCTCATCTCGTCTGACCAGACAGCTAGTGTGAAATACCAGGTTAGAGTAATAGGCACTTATATAAGACAAAGCCCCAAATATTTGGACTGTCCCTATAAAATTAGGACATCTGGTTACCCTACTTTCATTCCTTTAGTTACATTCTGCTGGCTTGTGTTAGATGTAATGGCAGCTGTTAGAACACCACTTCAAGAGATGTTATCAGATCTCACTAAAGCTGTGGTTAGGATCCCATAACCTTCTAGAGACCAAAAAAAGCACTCTTGTTGAACTGGAATCTCAGAGCCGCAAAATAAATTCACACGTTTACAATAAAAATAATGTGGAGCATTTACAAATTAATAAAAATAAATTAGAGCATCTTTCTAAAATATAAGTCAAAGAATTTTTTTCTTGCCTTAATGGACTACCAAAACCAAATACAGGTTTAACTGGCATACTTGTGTATTTATTTTATTTTTTAAAATTAAAATTGCCTCTTATCTTAATGCAGCCACTTCATCGGGAAGGGTGGCAATACTTTCCACCCAAGGAGACAGTCACATCCTTAACTATAAAGATTCAGATGGAATTTAACAACTATTGCTAGAGTACCTCTGCATTAAACATTTAATTTATGAATTACACCTAGCCAGGTAGTTCCTAATAGTTTGTCAGTCACACATCAGAAACCTGCATAACTGTTTTGCATTAATGTTCTCATTTCTGTGAAAAGCCAACAAACCGTAGTAAGCTGTCCAAATCCCTGTGGCCATTCACTTTCTTTGTGTAGAGCAGTCGGAAAGTTTTCAACTGGGGTTCGGTCACCATGTCGAAAAACCTAGTGAGACGAATCAAAGACTGAATTAATTCTCTTTGGGTTTTCTTTTACTTGTCTGGAAGACTAGCATATCATGGTAGTTTGAGCGCTGCTTTGCAATCCAAAGAACTGGAGAGTCTGAAAAGACAGGTTAATGCATCTAGTCTGATTGAAACACATATTCAGATATTAAGATATCATTCTAGTGCCAACTGAACTGTGAAAGGGAGCAGTCTGATGATTTTTCCCACATAGGACATAAAAAGTAATTGGCCATCATTTTGAAACCTGAATGCCACAGGTGGGCATCCAAAGCCATATGTATGCACCTAAACAAGTGGTCTGATTGACTTGTGAATGCTTATCTCTGCAAACCAGACCATTGATTCAGGGGCCTAAATATGGATTTAGGTTCTTAGCTTTGGCACCCAAGTTTGAAAGTGCTGGCCATTGATTTGTTAGTAATATTATTCAGAATATTATTTTTATATATTGTAATTAAAGTCTAGTTCTATGATATTTCCTTTCCCTTTTCACAGTCATTCCTGTGTGATCACCAAAAAAAAAAAATTGCTTAGTAAATATCTACTTAGTGCTATTTTCCCCGTCCCCCCACACACATACACTCTTATATAAGTGCAAGGCACAATCTGGCTGCACTGGCTCTAGGTACTAAAATACATCACCATTCATGTTACCGCCTGTTTTGTTTGCCTCAGACGACAGGAACTGTTCTAAAAGCTTGAGTCAAAGAATTTGTTTCTACAGGTTGAACCTCTCTAGTTTGGGACTCTTTGACCCCAGAACATCCATGGTCCAACCACCAGGACCAGGAATGCAGCCCAACCAGCAGTTGCCTGAGTGAGGAACACAGCCTGGCCGGCAACCCTATGGGTCTGGAGGGCACCTACTATATCGATCGCTGATCACATTCCCATCAACACCAGTGCTCCATGGGTCATGAGGAGTTGTTTACCTTAGTTCAACTTTTCCCCCTAGGGTAGAACTGGCCTAACTGCAGTTTAAACCTTTGGATATGTCTCCCCTGGTTTAGACAATAAACCCCAATATCCTCTCTTGATCTCTGGTTCACAGAGAGTTACGCCAGTCATCTGACTTATATTTTCTTAAATTACAAATAGGTTGAAGTTGAAATGTGTCTGTAACATATTACCAATCAGCAAGTTTCCGGCAATTAAGAAAGCCCATGTCATAATCAAAGGAAGAGGATGAGTATATAGATTTTGCCCCCCCCCCCCTCAAAAAAAAGCTACCAGAGGTATCCCGGAAAAACTCTACCGCATCCAGGGAACGTGTCTGCTCTTCTGTTTTTTTTGTGGAAGAGCAGATGAACTCTTTCGGAAGCCCTGTCTTCCTCCTTCCACAAGGATAAAGGACTCTTCCGAAAAAAGGAGGATTTTCCAAAATTTGGCCCATTGTAGATGGGCCAAATTTCGGAAAAGTTTCTTCCAAAAAAACAGAGAGCAATTTGTGTACCTTTTTACTGGGGCTCCTGCAACAGAGCCATGGACACCTGGGAGGTGGGAATATAGGGGACACTCAGAGTCCTGTCACCATGGGGGGTTGGGGGGCAGGGGAGACAGCTAGGTGGAGCCTGTCTCCTCTCCTCCTGTCTCCTCAATCTCTTACCAGGAGATAGCTTGGCTTGAGCTCTCCTTGCTCCCTCACCCTTCCTCCCCCACCCCGACCCGATCCTTCACCTGAAAGTGACAGGGATCTGGTTCTCAGGCTCGGGGGCAGCAGCAGCAGTGTGGAAGTAAAGGTGGCAATGAGGTGCTAAGTCTGCTGCAAAAAGTGGTATGGATGAACATCACTTTTCACATTGCCTCCCCTACTGCTGTGCTGCTGCTGGTGCTCTGCTGCCTTCAGAGCTGGGCATCTGGCCAGCACCAGCTGCTTCTCTCTGCTCTGCCTTCTTAGTTGGGTAGCAATATATATACGTGTGTGGGGGGGAGGCGAGGGACACAAACAGCCACAGACACAAAGAAGGGGGCCCTGATCAAATGCATTTGAGGACCACTGCTTTAGAGAGTTCTGTTCTCCAGCTGATGCCTCTGCCTGATGCCACCTGTGCATTCAGGACTCTTTCATTCACTTTCACATTCTTTTAAGATATTGCTATGTACGTTCACTAATGCAGTGATTCTCAGCCCCGCTGGGGGCATACAGAGATTTTCTAAGGTACATTAACTCATGTAGATATTTGCTTAGTTTTGCAACAGGCTACATCTAAAGCACTAGTAAAGTAAAATTTCATACAGACAAATGAGAAAGTAAACACTTTTTAGTATAGTGGGCTGTGACCTTTCTGTATTTTGATGTCTAGTTTTGTAAGTCTAGAAGTTAACTTGAAATGTGGAGTATGCAAATCATACTTCTGAAAAGGGCACGGTAGTCTGGAAGGGTTGAGAACCACAGCACTAATGAATGGGACAAACTTTGAACATGTTGCTGAAAACAGAATTTGGGTCTCTCTTTGCCTGGTGTCTGATCCAATTCCCTTTGAGATTCTCACCGATGTCAAAAAGTCATGTTCTGGCTCATATGTAAGGGGACTGTTACCCCTTACTAAAACTCGGTGGGAGTTTTTGGTTTGCCAGCTCGCAGTATCTGAAGGGGAAGAGTTCATGAGACTGACTGACCCCAGAGACAATGGAAAGCAGCCAACACTCCAGCTCAGCCTGACAGGTTGGACAGGTCAGTGAGGAAGGGGAGAGGCCAGGCCCCGTCCTCCCTGTGAGCTGGGATTGTTCTGGCTCTCTCTCTGAACAAACAAGCTGTGTGCAGAAGAGGTCCTGCAAAGACAGAGAGCTGAAAGAGGAGGACAAACTGTGTAAAAGAAGTCCTGCAAAAGGAACAGGGAGCTGAGACACTGCTAAGAGGAGCAAGCTGTGCTGAGGGGCAGTTTTTGCAGCAGCAGAGCCAGGCACACACAGCGCAAGGAGTGCAGACCCTGTGTTGAGCAGCAGACTGGCAGTGCTCAGAGAGCCAAAAGGAACAGAGAAGCAACACAAGGAGCTGGAACTGGCCAAGCAGCACAGCCTGCAGCTGGATGTGGTGAGCACCTGGGACCAGCAAAGTGTGGGGAAAGGCTCTGGACTGGGAGAGGGGTCTGGCCACTTCGAGCTTGAGACTGTGTGGTCACTACCAGAGCTAGCGTGCCCAGCCTGTAGCCCCTCCTGCAGCATATCCAGGGCCTCTAAGAGAGAGACTGTGAACTGTCCTTACACTCTGCAGGCTGCTGTTTTGATGTCCCTGTGCTACAGAGCAGGGCTGTGTGTTCTCATTTAACCATTCTCATTTTTTTCTTATTCTTTTCTCTTTAATCAGTTGTTGTTTAATAAATTGTATTTGCTTTGAACCTTATGAAGTGATCACTGGGCCAAGAAGGCCTGCAGTGTAAAGAGAGCACCTCGGAGTGGGGACACCCTAACTCCTGCCCCTAGTGACTACAAGGTCAGGGATTAAGCCCCAGGAAACCTGGGCCCAGCCTTGTTGGGGTTTCAAGGGCTCTGCTACTCTGGAGAGTGGAGGGGGAGCCCCCAGGATCAGGGAGCCGTGGGGTAAAGGAAGTGGGAGCGGGGACTCAGATCCTTTCGCTGGTTCATTTCACCGGGGTGTATAGAAGCCAGGAAAGTTCCCCACAATAGCGGGATCATTCCCCCGCTTACACATAGGACAAATGTTATTCTTACTAGCATCAGCCAAGAGAGACACAAGAAATATTAGAGGTTGTGGGTTGGGGGGAGTTGGCATAGATAATAGAAGGGGAGTTGGCATAGATAATAGAGTAAGGACACACATTGTTTTCTCTACATGGATCAATAAATGCTCACTGGGAACTGTGGAAGGAACAAGAATGTTTGGATAAAAGAATTCCTCATTACAAACAATAATTCCAATGCATAGGAAGCAACACTTTAAAGCAGGGGGCCTTTTTTGGGTTGGGGGCCAGTGAGCCACAGAAAAATCAGTCGGGGGCTGTATGCAAGTGAGAAGCATAAAACAAAACAAAACAAAACAAACAAAAAAAACCCCACAAATAAAACCTCACTGACGTGTCCCCTGACTGAGAAGGAGAAAGACACTCCCCACGTTCCCCTCACACACTGGAGTCTAGGGGGGCCCAGGTTAGTAGATTTTGTGTGCTCCAGCCCCACAGTGGAGGTGCAGACTCCCTAGTGCCGTGAGAGGGAACCCTGAGCCTCAGGAGTTGGATCCAGGCAAGGTGTGGGCCACATTTAGCCCTTGGGCCTTAGGTTCCCCACCCCTGCACTAAAGTGAATCTTTTTTCCCCTGCCACCTCTCTCTCTCTCTCTCAGATCTACAAGGCCACAGGTTCAGAACACATTGAAATTCCAGATCCATTGGGGGGAAGCCTCCCCAAATTTGTTGAGGGGAAAGGGATGTTACATTGTTTTTCTATAGACTTTAAAAGTAGAAGTGGACCATGAAAAATTGTTGCAGAGTTTCCAAATTCATTCTAGTTAATGCAGCATGTACATCACAACACTAAATAAATTAGGCTTTATATGTCTCTGCACACTGTAGGTACGTCTAGACTACAGGCTTTTGTCGACTGAGGCTTTGTCGCAGATACTGTTGACAAAGCTTCTGTCGACAAAGAGCGTCTAGACTACATCCAGTTCTGTCAACAAAGCAAGCTGCTTTGTCGACATGAGAGTATAGATGCAAAGGACAATGTAGATGCAATAACGCCTTCTGTCGACAGAATTCTGTCGACAAATTGCGTTATTCCTCATAGAATGAGGTTTACCGCCGTCAACAAAACTGCAGAGTTCTGTCGACGTTATGTTCTGGCGTTATGTTATGTATGACGCAGGTATAGTTCTGGTGACAAAAGTCCACTTTTGTTGACAAAACCCTGTTGTCTAGACACACCCTATTAGGCTAAGTCAGCAGTCAAAAAAGAAGTGCATTCATTTCTAGCATGCCTTCCATTTGAAGATCTCAGACCACTTTAAAAGCATGAATGAATTTAACTTTGAAACAGCTATGAGCTAGGTAAGTATTCCCAGTTCTACATATGGGGAAAGCAAGATACACACAGACAGACATGGGCACATAAAGGATGGGAGGTACAGACCAGGACAAAACCCCAGTCTCTTGACTCTGGTTCATGTGCTTTTGCCACAAATCTTGGAGATTCTTTTATCTCACAAAGAAAAATCTTTACATTTGACTCATTTTATCTTCAATAAGATGAGCCTTTAAGACTTGGTTTTCCGCTGTACACAGAAATACCGACACCATTTTTTTCCTTGTGGAATCTGTACAAAGAGGAGTTGCAAATCTTACACTGTTATCAATTCCAGGAACACCATGCTATAGTCATTACCAGTAATTAAATGAAGAGGCCATCTACTTACCGCTGCCACATATTTCAACTTATTTTCTGAAGTTGTTTGGTGAAGCAGAATGAGGAAAAGACTAAGAGTGAAGCAAAAACTCCTGGACCTGCATGGAAGCCGTGTCATTCTCATCCTGGCTGCAGCTGGAAAAACTTTGGAGCTACAGTAGCTCTTCTGGTTTTACAGCCTGAGGTGAAGCTGTACTTTCAAAAGGACAAAAGGGGTGGATCTGCTTCCTGCGCATTTCAAATGCAGGAGAAACTTGGGAGTGATTATGCAAAGTATCTATGTTTTTAAGTCATTTTCTTTCAAGGTTGCAGTTCTACATTCTTTTTAGCCTAAGACTGGTTTCAGTGCAGCCAACTCTCATGATTTTGTCTTGAGTCTCAGGATAATTATTGCTCCAACTCCTGGGGTCAGTGGAGATGTGATGATTTCAGTCGTCATTCTTCAAAACCAAAACCAGTAAGTTTCTAGCCCTTGTGGCTGGGGAGAAGGCTCCAAAATGTGGCCCCCGTGCACTCACAAGGCTCAAAAAGCAGAAGGTAATAAAATGAACACCAAATGTATTACTTTTGCATAATCTCATGATTTTAAAGCCAAGCTCATGATTTCTGGTGAGCCTGACTCATGATTTTTGAACATTTGAGGTTGGCAATACTGTGGTTTGTTTCCCCCCCCCATGTGATTTGTTTTTGTTTGTTTTAAATAAGGGATCATCATTCAGTAAATAGGCAGATTCTGAGTTCCTGGATACTTGGAAGGCGGCAGCAAGGTATGAAGGAATAAGCATTGGACTAGGAGAAGGGCAATCCTCAGTTTCCTTTTCCTTCCTTCCAGTCATCTCTCCTTCTCCTTCACTACTATTTTAAGTCCTTTATGGGACCATTTCCCCACCATTCTCCTCTTAAACTCCAACCTCAACTTCTTATGCTCATGTCAAGCTATTTTTTAAAATAACAGAAACAAAAACTAAAGCATGCTAAAACTACCCTGCTCCCAACAACTGTAAAATAACCTCCAAGATGCATGTGCAGCTTTTTGACCAACGGTATCCCCTTGTATTTGTAGCCATTGGCTTCATTTTCTGCTGCATACCCCTGTGTGGCTGCTTGTGGCCTGTCTTATTTAGGCCCCAATCCTGCGAGAAACTCTGTCTGGGTGGCTCCCTGATTTCACATTGAGCTCACTGCAGAATCAGGGCCTTAGATTGTGATCTCTTTGATGCAGACTATGCCTGTAGAGTGCCACGCATATTTTAGACACGGGAAAACCCCCAAACATAATAATTATAGCTCTGGTGTGAAACTGAATCATTGGCTTTGAACAGATTATTTAATCTTCTTGCCTTTGTTTTTCCCTTTATAAAATAGGGACAATAATACTTTCTCACTCACCTTCTAAGGGTTACGCACAGACTAATTACCGTAGTTAGTGCTGGCAAAGTGCTAATAAAAGCACGAAGTATTATCATTGCTAATGATTTCTTCATACCTCAGGGTCCTCCACTGAGCTCCAGCAGTAGTGACCTCAGGTTTGGGTAAAGAGCTCCCCTTACTATTTTAAATTTACTTTAAAATGTATCAAGAGGCATCTGGAGATCTGTCAGTCACAAGATCTTAAGATCTATGTCCCTCTGCCCCAACCTCTCTGCTGTTCTCCCTCCTCTTGCCTGAACTGTTTTCTTTCTCCAGCTGCATTTCCCTGACCTCCTGTTGGCCTCTGCTTGCTTGGAAGTGAGTAGCCACTTAGCATTAGTCCTATGTCATATGCCATCCTATCCTTATCCTTCCTCTAGCTTCTGAAATCAGCGTGTAGAATGGAATAGAGAATAATATCACTGCTCTAGAATTCTGTTGGACTGTTCAAAAGTCAGTAGAGAGGATACCATTATCTATGAAGGTTTCCCTGTACACTTCAGGTTAGGGATGTGAGTCTCCTGCTCCTATAAATATACTTGCACAACCATCATCCAACTAGTGTGAGTATAAACAGCAATGTAGCCATGGTAGCATGGCTTTGCCAGGCTGAGTACAAACTTACCTGTTGGTTTCTTGGCATCTATCAACTCCAATTACTATCTTTGACAATCTAGGACCTTCTCCATGTTAGGAATGTGGTTCCAGTTTAGCAAAATCAATTTTAAGCCAATCTTACACTGGTGCAAACCCCATAGTAGAGATGTACTTAAAGGTTTGTAAAGCACCTTTTCACCCATCTTGTTTAATGAGGTATGTTATTTGGTGCAAACCCCATGGTAGAGATGTACGTAAACGTTTGTAAAGCACCTTTTAACCCATCTTGTTTAATGAGGTATGTTATGGTTAGTAAATTGCTGCATTAAGCTAAATTGCTGTAATCACAATTTAAGCCAGTGTAAGTGCATTTGTCTGTATTAGTGGGTTTGCACCAGTGTAACTAGATTGGTTTTAAATCGATCAAGTTATACAGTGCTTGTTCTCTAATGTGGGCAAGACATCCTTTAGCTGTGTGATTGTGGGTACAGGGATATCCATGTGACATAGAAGGGGAGGGGCTGGGAATGTCTGCTGTAGCTGAAATATAAGTGCTGATGTCTGTTCACTCTCATGCAAACAGAGTGCTTGTAAAGGAATAATTCAGGAAGACTGGAGAGAAAAAAAGGAGGGGCAAAGAGAACAAACACAAACCAGTCAGCTCCTGAAAAGCCCTCATTTCCCTTTTTCTGTCCATTTCCTTATTTGTTGTTTTATCTTAAGTTAAATTTAATTCATTTAATTAAGCTACTTCGAGTAGTCTCTGTGGGTTCTCCAATGCAGATATGCATGCACCCATGATTGGAGATTTCTGGTAGTGGCGCCTTTTTGATCTGTGTGCCTGCTCCAGACAAATTTATGCCCTACCACTCAAAGAGACATAGTTACTGCACATGGTGACTAACCTCTCCTGCTATGGGTCTTCATTAAATTATTTTTCTTGAGGAAACATGTTTTGTTTGTATGTCTTGTGAAAGGTGAGGGTTTCGTGTGTCCTTGTAATATGGGAGCTATGATGTGATCCACTTTACCATTGTTTCCATGTGGTTGTAAATACCTAAATAGCACTAAAACTGAGATGTAATTGGGTTTTTTTTTCTTAAAAGACCAAAACCATTATTTTAAGATTTCAACTCAGCAAAAGTGCAAGGGCCAGATCTCCAGATGGTGCAAACTGTTATGTTGCCCTGGAAGCCGGAATATATATAAATATATAAATGTTTTTAAAATTATACATTCATTTACAATTTCCAGTTATAAAGAAGAGCTGAAGATCTGGATCTTGTGTTTCAACTTTCACAAAAACTGATATTAATATTCTCTTAAAACAGAGCAGGAGGTATGCAAAATATTCCCTATGGTGCTTCTGAAGTTTGGCTGACAGAAGGGGAAAGTGCCTTTGGATTGTGTGCACAGTGGAATGTGGATAGACAGAGAAGAGGTTAAAAGTAAGATTTGCTCCTGATTTTGTTTTTTGTGTGCAAAAGATGAATTTCTCCCTGGAAAAGGAGATGTGATTGACCCAGCCTATGCTTTGTTCTGCTGAACAGCTTCATAGGCGTGCACTGTAAGGCTACATGCACAGTCAGGCCTGGAAAGGCCTTTAGCTGCAGCTTGTTAAAAGGATTAGGGTTACTGGAAAGAAAGGCTTGTGGGAGGGAGATTGCACTCTTGATTAGAAAGGCCCTCCAACTGGCTGCCCTTAGTAAAGGAGAAAAGACATTTTGTATCTTCGTTTTGCTGCTGTGCCAAAGTGTGAAGGTTTTTTGGCTATTTATGCTGCTAAGAGGGACCCCTTTGTTTATTTTTTTCCTTCCTCTTTGCCACAGAGTGGACCCAGGGATGTTCTTTCTTCAGCTTGCCATTTGGGAGTCTCTAGAGCTTCCAAGAAATCCTGTATGTCTAGAGGCAAGAAACCACCATCATTTCTAGAAGTTGGCAACATCCATCCGTTTCTGAGTTCACTTCCATGGGGGTTACAGAAATTACATTTGTAAAAAGGAGATTGGAAAAACCAAGTAGAAAATCACTGAATTCCAACTTTTTGTAATAAGAATTTGTTTGACATGCAAAAAAAAAAAAAAAGAGCAAATTTCCAGTTTTCTTTATTTTCCGTGGAAAAAATGTGGTCGGATAGGTTCAGAGTGGGGTAGAATTTGCCAATGCACAAAGGCTCATTAGATGCTAGGATGCACTGAAATTCAGTTCACTTAAGCTGTTTTAAAAATTCCGGGATAGGTTCAGAGTGGGGTAGAATTTCCCAGTGCACAAAGGCTCACTAGATGCTAGGATGCAGTGAAATTCAAGTTCACTTAAGCTGTTTTAAAAATTCCTGCCAAAAATGCTTTTTTTTTTTTTTTTAATTTGAAGTAAAAGAGGCGTCTCCATACTCTGTGCACAAGAAAATCAGATGTGACTGAAGTGGAAGTGATTATTATGAATATACAGCTACACATAAAAGTAGTGCACAAGAAAATCAGATGTGACTAAAGTGGAAGTGATTATTATGAATATACAGCTACACATAAAATCAGAAATTCCATCAGGTGGCACTTTACTGACTCCCATGTGTTTGGCAGCAGGGCTGGAACCTAGATGCACAACACAGACCTTGGCCACTTGAGCTATCAGCAAGGGAGCTGACGGCCTCCGTGGGCCTCTAGGCAAAGTGTGTGTGGGGTGGCTCCATGCTTCCGGAAGGGGCAGGGCCTCGGATAGAAGGGGCGGGGCTAGAGCAGCCAGCCCTCAGTGCGGCCTGGAGCACATGGCGTAGTACTCCACTGGCGATTTAAAGGGCCTGGGGCTCTGGCTGCTGTAGTAGCAGCAGCAACCAGGAGCTCCAGGCCCCTTTGAATTGCTGGGTTCTGGAGCAATTGCCCCTCACATCTTCCCGGTTGGCAGGTTTTGCTATCAGTATAACTAATACCACTGGGCTATGTCTACACTCGCGGCTTCTTGCGTGAGAAATATGCAAATGAGGCTAAGCGTGGAATATCGCGGTGCCTCATTTGCATACCTAATGAGCCGCCATTTTTGCAGAAGAGGCTCTTGCTCCAGGAGCTGTCTACACTGCCTCTTCTGGCGCAAGAAAAACCCTCTTGCACAATGCAGCTATGCTGATTATTTTCAGGAATAGCGGCATTGCGCAAGAGGGTTTTTCTTGCGCCAGAAGGGGCAGTGTAGACAACTCCT